CACACACACACACACACACACACACACACACACACACACACACACACACACACACACACACACACATGCACACGCACACGAACACACCACACGCGCCCGCATGCATGCACACACGGGTGCGCGCGCACACACACCTACTGCCCCTATCACTATCATTATTACTACTTCTAATACTTTCCTACCCCCAGCAAGCACAACGTATTTATATCTGAGCAGACAACCCATAAGTAAACAATACACAAAACCAAACAACAATATAAACGACTGCAATAACATTTGAAGCATAAGGCCCCAATACAATGTAAAAGAATCTAAACCTACGGCATACACAGCCTATAAATTCTCTTCACTGACTACAATGATACAATAAAATCTTAACCACACACGTCAAGCAATCATAAAATAAACTGCTCCTTTCCTTTTAACAAAGCATTTTTACACCATAGACGAGCTTACAATAGGTATATCTATGCATTTTGCTGAGAGAACTGGCCACTTTATGAGTGGACATTTTTTTGTTAAGTGTTTGTTTGAATAAAAAAAAATTAGTTTGAACGGAAAAAATAAATTCGTAGCAAAATTTTTTCTAAGAACCATCGCAGCTAACACACATGGAAACAGTATACTTTTTTATGCGAAACACGAAATTGACACGTGCAGACAGAAAACATCCCTGGATCATATAGATAGCATCAGCAATATTTGTCCGTCGGTGTCCAATTGGGATGTCGGGCTTAATGGGAAATATAAATATACACCATTCCTTGGTTGAGAATTGCCGTCATTGTTTTTGCCTTATTGCATGCTTTGTCCCATTATTGCATAAAAACTGTCAATTCGATGCTGTTTTTGCCCATATCTTTCTTTACATGCCATACACGGATTGCTAAATTATTAACGAATTAGCAAAAGATCAAAATGATTCGTTTTGAGATGTTGTATTCGTTAAGTACTGTTTCAGATGTCAAAGCTGTTTCTCACATTGTGATTTATAGGTAATGTGATATATACTAATGTGCTTCAGGAACGTCTGAAGGTAAGTGAAGCATTGCAAACGTGTTCTCACTTTGCTAATAGCGAGTTGATCTTTGTGTGCTGTTCTAGATTACTGGAGATGGTGTCGTAACTGGGCGTGGTATGATTCATGGGCGCCCGGTGTATGTGTTCAGCCAGGACTTTACTGTGTTCGGAGGCAGCTTGTCCAGTGCCCACGCTAAAAAGATCTGCAAGGTTAGTTCGAGTGATCATAAATCTATGTGTGTAATGCCATCATTCTGCTATTCTGTCTGTACCGAATTGGTCAAAATGATTTAGATATTGTTTGAGGTAATTTTCAAAATTGAGGAGACCGATTTCTGTGCGGAAAACACTCCTTCAAGTTTTTTTTTAAATTTTGCAAAAATGATCTCAGAACGAAGCTGCAAATTTGTAGGCAAGTGTGCACAAAATTCAAGAACAAGCTGCCATTAAAAAAATTGTATTGGCCACTTATACAGCCTTCCCTGACACACCATGGCTGGCGGCAACATAGTAAGAACTAAGGCTAGAACTGCCGTCTAGAATTCAGTAACCAAGACGTTTTTTTGGGCTGAGAAGAAAAGAATGCCCAAACATCAGATTAATGTATTTATTTTCTGGTAGCTAGAATAATTACCAGGCAGCGCTCCCATAATTAAACCATCTATGATTGGTGTGATCATGTGCTTTGTGCTACAAAGTTGTCTCTGAATGTTCATTAATCTGTTTTCACCCACCTTTTATTTCCTCGTCGCCAGAATATTGTGTTTGTGGGGTGTTGCTTTTGAACACTATAAAGTTATCAACAAGACATTTGTCTGATTGTCACACAGCCGGAATGGCCTAGATGTTTAATGCTACCGTAAAGTTTTATATATATATATACGCTGTTGACATAATTCGTACATAAAGATTGCGTTTAGTAAAATATAATGCACTGGTTACAGAACAATGTGAACACTTTGACCAGAAACATGAAACTTTTACCAGAAACATTCACAAGCACAGATTTTCATAACATTAACTGTTCTCACTGTCTACACTGCAAAGGTTCGGTGAACATAATTATGTACTTCGGTATAATATACGTGTACAATTTGCTTATGTGTTGTTCATTGACTCTGTGTTTTGATTAACAGGTAATGGACCAGGCTATGATGGTTGGAGTGCCAGTTATTGGTCTGAATGATTCAGGAGGAGCAAGGATTCAGGAGGGTGTAGAATCTCTTGCTGGATATGCAGAGATTTTTCAGGTATTCGTCCGTATTATAGAATCCATCTGGGTACCTCTACTTTATGATTAAGGCTTTAAAAGTAATTTTTTTGGAATGATCCCTGCTGAAACCTTAATATGGGACCTTTCTGATTATTGTTTTTTTGCAGCGCAATGTGATGGCATCTGGTGTGGTTCCACAGATTTCTTTGATCATGGGGCCATGTGCTGGCGGGGCGGTCTATTCCCCAGCACTGACTGACTATACATTTATGGTCAAGGACTCTTCTTACTTGTTCATCACAGGACCAGATGTGGTCAAGGTGGGAATTAGTTTTTTGTCCATTAATCCAGCACTTCTTACTGAATCACTGTTATTTCCTGGTGCTTTGTTATATATGATAGGGGATATTTTATCGTGCTGAAATACATGTGTATATAATTTCATGGATTTATAAAGGTTGTTCTTTTATGTTAATAGAACAATAGTTTTAGTTTACACATTTTGTTCTTATAGTGACTTCATTTTTCATATCGAGCTCCTGCCAAAACCTATAAATCATGTCAGTTAAAACAGTGTATTATATAGCCATGTTTGTGTGTGTGTGTGTGTGTGTGTGTGTGTGTGTGTGCGTGCGTGCGTGCGCACGTGCGTGAGTTACACACACGTGAATGCGTGTCTGTGTGTGTGCCATTTTTTATCGTTGCCTCTGACAGTCTGTGACAGGAGAGGAAGTCACCCAGGAGGAATTGGGTGGAGCTAAGACACATGCTGTAATATCCGGCGTCGCTCACCATGCTTTTGACAATGATGTCGATGCCCTTGTCAGGCTGAGAGAATTCTACAATTTCTTACCACTTAGTAACCTAGACGCTGCGCCTAGACGCGAATGTAATGATCCAATGTACGTTTGATTTCTTATTGTTTTGAATATTAAGGTTTCTTGGTGATTTGTTTCTCTTCCATTGTAGCAACCACAGTAGCAGTTGTAGCATCAGAATCCATAACACTACAACAGTAGGCATAACCTTCTGTTGTGCACTAATGCTTTGCGATGCTTGTTGTGTATTTCTAGGTTATTAAAGGGGGTAATTAGAAGATAAAATTTAAGAGTGTATTGTGATACTTATTGCATAACAATTTTATATCCTTATAGATTTCCGCTATGAAAGAAGATTTTGTTAGAAAGTGAAAGCAACAACCTATTATTTTTTTGTACTCGGGGCAACTTAACATATGAAACAATCATTAGTGGCTTTTTGCCCATTCTGTTCTGAGAAGAGCCCAGCAAAATTATTCTGTGGCTTTCAGTGTTTAGTTTACCAAGGAGATTAGCTTAAGCAATTATTCTTGCCTTTCCTGAGTCTTGACATTGCACTGAAAAATGACTGGCTACAAAATGTTTTTAACTCGATCGTGATAACTTAATAGCGAGTACGAAATCTCGGCATCAAAATAGAGTTAAAGAATCAATGTAACAATGAATAAATATTGGTTCTGCTATCTGATTATAAGCTATTTTGACTAGTCACGTCATGAACATGGGGAGTGGAGTGGAACATAGTGTGAGTGGCTATTTGCTTATATCTTGTTTGTGATAGGTTTTTCATCAATGCTCATTGCAACAATAGTAATTGGATTCTGGGAGATTCATAAGAGCTAGAAGGTTTTGCCACGTGTCACTTCAGAGAGTTTACATGTACTCTGCTGATTTTGTAGAGATCGTATGGTCTACAGTCTGGATACTGTAGTTCCTTTGGAGTCAACTGCTGCCTACGACATGCTGGCTGTTATAAAGGCTGTTGTGGATGAGAGAGACTTCTTTGAGATTCAACCCAATCATGCCAAGAACATTGTTGTTGGTTTTGCGAGGATCAATGGACGGACTGTGGGGATAGTTGGAAACCAGCCAAAAGTGGCAGCAGGTAATTATCCCAGTTAACAAAACTGCTGTGTGAGTGAGATTGGATTAAGTTAGAGGTGGACCTAAAATTGCAGAAAGGATGAAGGGGGGTTCATACCAGTACATATAGGATGCAAGCAATGACATTTCAAACACATATAAATCCATTTAAATGTTCTCATGTTGTATTGCAATAATTCGCACGGGTGGGGTCACTAAATATCAAGACAACTAAGTATATTGATATTCTTATTGTTAAACAGCCTTTCAGATTTTGTGCAAACTGCACACCATCATTTTCATTGCATTTTTGTAGTACGTACCATAATTAAGATGTAGGAAAAATTTAATTAGAAAAAAAATTAATGTAATGAAATTATAATACATTAAATTCATTAACATTGTAATTAATAAATTAATTACAATAAATAATTTTTTTTTAAATAATCTTTAATTTGTTAATTGCGTGTTTTAAGAGCTCTCACCATCTACCATATTCTACAGCATATAAGGCACCTTTTTCCCAAAAAATTGCTAAAAAAAATCACCCTGCGTCTCATATGAAAAATTGCGATCTCTCACAGGCTAATTCCTAAAGAGCCTACAGTAGCTACCGGTAACTTCTACCTAACCTAACCCCAGAAGAAAAATGTTATTGCTTAATGGTACTGTTCAGCCTTTGCACGGGTATTGCTCTAATGAACAGTAAACGGTTATTGACTAATGAATCGAATCAATCCCACGTTTTGTTTATAGGTGAGATGTATCTCTGTGCTCAAGCCAAACGATTTCCTACACCTAATTATGTTACAACACAAATGTTAAATTTTTATGTAAAAATGGTATTTCGGATATTTCTTAATTACCACAAAGAGCGAAAAGCAAAACTTTCACTACAAGCTGAGCGCAGTATGAACCAAAATGTGCATCAGGCATTTTCTGTAAGTTTCATATGCGTGTGTACGATCCCATTGGCCATTTTATCTGCGTAAACGGAATCAGCACTCAACGCGATTCATACATGTTGGCAAAATTGGAGTGCAGGAAGAGGAAGCTGTTCAAGCTTAGTTCTAAGAAACCCGGCCGTGCGCCAAGCATGGTCAAGAAAGTTCATAAAAATGGTCATTAGAATGTTTTGCGAGCTTTACTTGGAGGGATAAAAGTAGAATGCAGGAAAAATGTTGGCGCAGCTGGGGTAATGTGTAAATTAGACTGATCCGGTGTGTGTACTGTACATAGGTACCGTATATGATCGCGTAATAACCGCGGGCGCCTATAAGCCGCACCTCAATTTGAATCGGATAACCAAGTATTGCGCCTAGTATATTTCCCCTCACGGTATGGCGCACTTATAAACTGCAGAGCAAATACAGGGTTGAAATCTGAGGCCAAATTTGCGGTTATTACGCGAGTATATACGGTAAATAGTACAGTGGCAACAAGAACAAAGGCAGAGTTTATTTTCGATAACTTGTTTTTGGTGAGCAAGCTAGGGAAGTGACTGCTTATCTATCAAGTGTGAGTGTGAATATGTTGTAAGTTTTGAAGTTAAGATTTAAAACAGACTTTAGTAAGTTGACTTAATTATTTGACAGGAGCTGCACCAATTACATCGTGGTAATTTTTGCATCCACATAACAAATATTTAGGTTTTTTAATTGTGTTGGATCCATTCTTGTTTCACAGGATGCCTGGACATTAATGCATCTGTAAAAGGTGCAAGGTTCGTTCGTTTCTGTGATGCATTCAACATCCCCATTGTCACGTTCGAAGATGTTCCTGGATTTCTACCTGGTATGCTACATTGACATTCTATATAGTGGGTGGCCTTACTGTGGTGGTGGGAGAGTATTAGGCTTTTGCTCTCCTTAAACAAATATCTCAGAAGTACAGTTTATCTAAAATAGTGTAAGTTGTGTGTAAAATTATATTTGTTGATAATATCACAACTTTTCGCAAAAGCATGGATGGCTTATGGACAGCCTGCTTTGCCCCACATCATACTAATAATTGAGTTGTAATTGTAGGCACTGCACAAGAATATGGTGGCATTATTCGCCATGGTGCAAAATTGCTGTTCGCCTATGCTGAGGCAACTGTCCCAAAGATTACCATTATTACTAGAAAGGTAGTTTCAATTATTTTAATAATACTAATGAAATACATATCCATAAAAAAGATCTATTACAACAACTATGTCAAATTCATTTCTAGAAATGTTTAATATGATTGAGGCATATAAAAATGTTATGAATCACCTGATAGAGGAGCAAGCTTTTATGCTGCACATGTTCATAATGTGGCGAGGTTTAGCACTTGTCTGATGCTGTTATTCATGCATACAGGCCTATGGGGGTGCCTATGATGTCATGAGCTCCAAGCATCTGAGAGGTGACATCAACTATGCATGGCCAACAGCTGAGGTAGCTGTTATGGGAGCCAAGGTAAGTGAAGTCACATCGGCCTGTCACATGTCATTAGGGTGAGCAATACCAACAAACTAGGCAATTGCAGAGGACCCAGAGGGACCGCTTGGTGTATTGTTTCTTTTAAAATCAACTGTGTAACCAGTCATCTTCCACCCTGTGCTTCCAACATTTCTACCAAATAAATAGTGTTTTTCTTTAAATATCTGGCTGTAGGGGTTTGTGGGTAGGCTGAAATATTTAGTTTGTATGAACAATTGATTATTACTTATTTTGAGCATTTTTCTGTACTGTTTAACAGTTTACTGTACTATTTAAAATGGATAAACCTCGTAACAAGAAGCCTATATACACCTACTGTGAGCATACTTGCAGTATGCAAACATCACGAAATGTTCTTATTGGGACAGAAATTGCTCCGAAGTTGACTATTTTGAAAAATCGGAGTTTCAGCGTACAGATACACATATAGCGATGCGACTGAGAATGCTAACAGTAGTCCTACGCTGGCACAAATAGTTCCTGGAAAGAAAACACTATATTTGTTTGCTGATTGCATAAGTAATGTATTGCATTACTTATGATTTAAACAAATTTCACAATTTTGTACTGAACAAATGTCGAATAATGAATTATAACTTGTTCTATCATAGAAAAGAACTGTTAATGAAAACTGTGATCGCCTGGCTATGTTCCGGATGTGTAAACACTGTGTAAACATTGAAAGTACTAGTTTCGTAAGACTGTTTAGGTTTGCGGAAGAAATGTTATGAAAGTACCAATACAAATGAGTTGTAGTGAATTTTTGCAACATAGACGAGCTCACAGTAGGTATATCTATGCATTTTGCTGCGAGAACATCCCTAATGACATCATTTTTTCCATGACCGTAATAAAACTTAAAATATAGGTGGTCTGTCACAGTTGGCAAATCTAAATGTATGTATATTTAAATCTGATGTAGGGAGCTGTGTCCATCATCTTTAGAGGAGGTGATATCAAGGCAGCTGAGAAGGAATACATGGAGAAGTTTGCTAATCCATTCCCTGCTGCAACTAGAGGTGTGTAATGTTCATTAATTGAGTCGAATGCATGTCATACTGTTGCAATCTCACCCACCATGAAAGATAAATCACAATTATCTCTATGTGTATGCCATGTAGATGATCATTGCAATGTAGCAATCTGAACCATTGCATAGCAAGTATTGTTGACCGCTATAACAAGAAAATTATAATTAATAGCTCATAAAACAGCAATTTGATTGAAAAACATTGTTCTGAATCTGTCAGAATCTGGTACTGTTTCAACACTAAGTGTTCGCATGCGCAGCACTTACATTGTAAGAGAGGCATGTGATTTGAATCTATGCTGTGGTGGGGCACATTTGCACTGGTAGCACCAATGTTATAATGGCCTTACATTCTCCATAATTATTGTCCCAGTAATATCAAGTGAGAACGAACCAGCTGCATAATCTAGCTATAGTTAACCGAATTTACAAATCTTGGCTACACATTGAGTGATGGATAATGTGCTACAGGTTACGTCGACGACATTATTGAGCCACACTCTACGAGGGCGAGACTTTGTCATGACTTAGATGTTCTGGCAAGCAAGAAGCAGACAAATCCATGGAAGAAACATGCTAACATGCCTCTGTAAAGGTCAACGATTAGAGATGACTTAAGAGCATTACATGTGAAATAGTGATTATCATACTCGGTACAATGCCATACATCGAGTTGCAGGTTAATAATAGATTATTCTCATTGGGTTTGAGCATGTATAACTTCACTGTGGCTTCAGTGAAACGGCCAGAAACGTCCATTCTTTGAGGTATCTCCATAGGTTATCAGAGTGGAATGTAAATTTCAGAATTGGATTGCATACTAGACGACTTGTTTTAGAGGAGACACGATGCTACAGCTTTCAGATGTTTCCTGTCTTGATGCTAATTTGATATGTTAATATGTAGATAACTCACTTGCAAATAGATTCAGCATTGATCACTCGGAGCCATTTATTTTGTTGTTCGTACGTGTGCACGCAAGGCTATCATTATAGTGGAAATTTCGTTTGGGGTTTAAGTGGTCGTGGCACAAAGCAGTAAAACAGCAATGCTGCCTCTAGATTATAAATTGACAGGATTTCAGTGTGCATGTGCCACATGTTGTCTAACTAGTCACATATTGTCGTAATGTCCTACTACGGATACGCAATTAGATACAGAACTAATAGAGTATGTGACAAGTACTTCTAATATTCAGTAGAACATGCGTGCCTCTGTATATGGCAAGTGCTGCCATCTGTCATGGCATAACATGTAGAGGAATGTTAATATAATCAAAAGACCAGCAGCAAACCTACTTTAACAGGCAAGGAAACTGCTGTTAAACTTTAACAGGCAAGGAAGGTGCTCCCTACAGTTAGTTTACCATGGCAGTTCCAAATGGTACTGTTGTTTAGTAGCCAGCTTTACATTGTTGATCAGGAAAATCTCCATGTATAATGACAATTAACATTAATTATTATCGATTTATCTGTTGGACTGTTTTTTGTCATGACAGAAATAAACTAACTATGCAACCATACATGTAGACTACAGTCTGAGTTTTTAATTTTTGTTTTATTTACAGGTTTTAACTCGGTCACCTCCTACAGGTGTAACGTTACAAAAATTAATGTTTTATGAAAATCACAATAGAAGAAATCTTATATGTAATCAAGGATATAAAAGTTGCTAAAATGGAGTTATATACATGACAGATCTAACTTGGGATCACATATTACAGTTACTCATCCAACACACCTGGCGTTGATACATTGACACCAGGTGGTGCTGTATTCATGTCATAGTTCAATTGTCTTTATTTTATGGCTGTCTACATAAACTCAAAATAAATCCAAACTGTTACATGATCGATTTAACTGGGCCTACGAACGTATATAATTTACTCTCACACGCCTGTTTAACCCCTACGCGCGTGCATACGTACGAGTATATATATATAATAAATATATATATATATATATATATATATATATATACATATGAATATATATATATACATAATATATTACATGCAAAGATGGCTGATTGTATTCCATCATAATTTCTGTGCTATTTGGCCAAATTGGTACTCAGAAACTAAGCCACGAATACTATAAATCATCCCATCTAATGTTAGTGCATAGTCTGACGAAAACTTGCCTAAAAGCAAATAACAGTTTTCACCGGGAGTAACTCGTAACATACGGCACGTGGGGAAATGCTGATCATTGTCCATCATATCTGTATCAGCGTTTAAAATTTGAATGAGTGCCGTACGTGAAGGTTACACCTGGTTGCTACTAGCATTTAGATTTAATGAACATTTACTCAAGAGGTAGAATCACCCAGTTGTAAACAAAATTGCAAGCTGCAAACAAAAGGAAAACAGACGATGGTGGTTTGGACTACATAAACACGTTACAATTTTTTTTACATGCAGTATTGCAGCACTGTCTCACCAAGCAACTCACACCTGTACATTAGTAACCATGCTAACCATGAACCCACAGCTTAACACCCAACCACAACATAAAAATATTATATCTCTTTTAAATTCGTATTATGTGAAAAACCACTAATGCCAGCTTACATATATGCACTGGCCCTATGTGCACATTCCCATAAAATGAAACAATCATTACAATAACAAGATGCACATTTTTTTTAAAGATTTTTGAGTTAAGCTGCCAGGTAAGCTGGCTTTCAATTGGCTTTTCTCTCACAGATCTCCGGATTTAGTAAGATCGCTTGCACAGTCACACCAACAAGTAGGAAAGTCGTGCACAATTGCTTTCATTCCTTACCACTTCATTACATGTCCCGCGTCATTAATCAATAGTTCGTTCTGATCAACAAAAATTGCACAGAAGTAGCATCGTCACCGTCAACGTATAGGTGAGGAGCAATGATCTATCGTTACTAAGAATCAAGGGATGGCTGGCTACAATCTTCTATGAATGAACACCGAATTCTGACGAAATTCTTAAGGGGGTTTACAACCTTATTTATATATGTGCAAAATGTAAATTTTGCAGTGCAAGTTTCAATAACCAAACCATACGCGTTTGAAAGTGAGTCCCTGCGAAGCAAGATCCCATTGCTCTTATCCTCGTTATAAAACCTTAATCTGAATATAGCCAAAAATGAAATTAAACAAAACGAGCAATTAAAACGCCTCCATGTCACAGTGCACCACACTGCGACAAGATAACACAACTAATGCAGGTCGGTAATGTGTAAGCACATCTCAAAGGTCTCATCCAATAAAACGCAATACTGCAGTATTCGTTTGACCTGCGTCTTTAAACCTGCATTGTAAGTTCATGAGTGTAATCAGCCAGTTGGGGCTTAACCCCTCTTAGATATGCAGTTTGTGTGTAGCTTCAGCATGCAGTAACACCCCAGCATAACCACCAGCAGCAGTAGTATATATTACTCATTGGATTCAATTTGATCAGATTAGCTCAAATTTTGTCACTGTATTTAAAAAAATGTCTATTGTGACATCAATCCAGTCGTTTCTTACCAAGACAAATGTGTAGGATTTATGAACAAAAGTAAAAACGAGGTCACAGCAATAATCAGTGTAAAAGTGCTTTGACAAAACCACCGGTGTGTATGCGAGTGATACATTAAATTAACCAGCGAACAACGGTTTTCACCACCTTATAGCACAACCACTTCATTGCATTTACATGTAGCTGGAGCTATAGCTGCCAAAATATAAATCACCCTCACAAAAGTGTGATAGTTTCAGTAAAATTCAACATTAAAATTGTCTGTTAAAAACAATATCACAACAGCTCTATTCTGTATGCAGGCAAAGTTGATGAATAGCAATACTCGATGCAAACACATTCAACTGCAAAAAGAGTAGAGTCAGCTATAATGCCAAGTGAATTTTCTAAAGAACAGTTTATCATCGTATTACACTTTGTTTACCAGCAACTCTATGTTAAAAACACCAAGCTCACTGTAGAACGTAACACCGTACCTTTATCAGCAAGCAAGAATTAAAAGCCTCTGCACCGAGGCAAATCAGCTTAAAATCCCACCAGAGGTTTGTGGTTAGAATGGCTTTAAATAAGCGCATAGTAATATTGGTAATCATGCTATTTTGCTAAATTGCTGTTGTATAAATAAGAGTTAAGAAGAGAGACATGCCTAAGAAGCAAGATGAACATTAGTCGGTCAACCTGGGTATTCAGCGGTAGCTACCGAGTCATTATGGTTAGTAACTGCATACCTAAAACTAGGCACAAAGTTTGCAACACAAGGGGGTGATTCTATTGTTCATCCAGTGAGAGCCAGATAAACCACCTCAAAAAGGCTTTCTTGCTGGGTTTCCCTCTGTTTACCTGCTAGAAACCAACAACAAAAAATGCAACATCAACGCCGACATGCAGGTTAGCAAGCGATGCATCACCCAATCGTACATCTTCAAAGTTGCATACCTGCATCACGGACATTGGTCGGACCAAGTGCGACTTCAGACAAACATGCAACTGCCCTTCCACAAACATAATTTGCATTACTCAACTTGATTCAAGAGATTGTAAATGACCTTTCAGCCTCAACTTGCGACATATAGAAGGAGGCTGTGTCCACAAATACACATCCTACTAGAAAACAAAAATATTTTGATGCTTAAACTGTCTAATACATGTACGTTTCCATCAACTGGAATTCCATACAAGTACCACTGTTATTCAGTCCGTTTGACTAAACAGTTAACAGTAGCACTCAAATATGGTTTATACATATTAATCACTACCACATTATTACTCTAAAATCAATACTCTCGTCAAATTGTCCAATGTAAGGAAGGGCAGTTGCACACTAGTTTACAAGTTCGTTAATATCGTTATCTCAAATCGCGAATTAAAACATTTCGGGTGAATGTGAATAATGCTGAAAGTGCACAGGAACCAATTACATCTGTTATATCCTGGTGCATGAAATACCGTTCTAGCTTACCAAGCGCTAGCACTATGGTAGCACACAAAGAGAAAAATGTCCTCTCCAATTCAAGGTAGATGGCACTGCAGGAACAAATTGATGGAATCTGTACACTCTCAGCACGTCTGGCCACAATACACCACCAGATCATTACCAGAACAAAACCAGGTAACAGTTGTTTACACTAACAGGGCAGGCGAGACCTAGATCGGTGTGCTTGCAGCAACCTTCCACGTGTTGTCATCTCTTAGTCAAAAACTAACAGCCTAAGAGAGATACGAAACCTTGTGCAAATGAATTCAAGTGCCACTCAAAAAGCACCTTGCTTGAATATAGATGAGCGAGGTCTCGCCACACGCTGCTAGCATGACAGCAGACTGGGTATTGGTACAACTATGTAAACTTGCACTCTGTTTGCTCTGATAGTCTTTCATGGGAAAAAAATCGACACTCTTTGCTATTACTTTTCCCTACAACCAGGGCAGGGAACAGAGCCCTATCCGTAGTAATGTCACCACGGTGCAACGCAGCCCCAAACACAGCAAGTGATGTCACCTGCGCCGACTTCCACAACTGGCTCGCACTGCACAACGAGCAGTAACCTGGCTTCACGCCTGTATACCCGACATGAGCCACGGCTGCTCATAGAGGTGCTGTGGCGGCCCAACCGTGGTGTCAGTGTCACCACCTGCTAGTGCATTCTTCCTCTCCCGAGGGTCGAACGAGTGCTACCCAGTACGTGTGTGTGCACGCACCCTGCCTCTCCACCACCTCGCTGAAAAGTCTCAGTACAGATTCTCATGTCAGGAAAGCCAAAGGAATTACCATCTGACGCTACTATCAGCACTTGCGAAAACGTTGCCACCTTCCCACTCTCCATAAAACAGACGCCCTCTCCACTACTTCCATTTTCAACTTACCTCTGTACAAAAATAATATAATATTCATGGCAATTTCATGTATCTCACAACCTCTGCTGTGGCTGTGGGCTTGGCACCTACCTGTTCCTCTAGAGCAGAGGGAGAGCCTCACCTGATATAACTAATGACCCGACTAGTTATCATAAGCATTAGTATCACCTTTGAGGACCCACTCCCTCTCTCTATGTCAGGGATTAGTGAGTGGTGCTTCTTTGCCATATTTGCATAACAGCAAAAAATATGATACGGGCCAACTATTGACAAAACAACGTATAAAACAACGGCCTGGGCCCATTATTATTTAAAATTTGATTTTTAAATTTTTTTTTGATATTTTTTATAAAATATATGTCAATCTGATAGACGAGTGTTTTGTATAAATTTAAAAAATTATAAACCTTAGAAAATAATTGATCATTACTGCGTTTACCTACTACTCACATTACCTAGCACAGTGTACTTAAAATAGTTTCTCTGTGAGAAAGAAACTGTCCTTACTAAATGAAACTGCTAAAGAAAACAGCTACAACCTCAGTGTCTCCCTAAAACACTGCCCGGCAGCACGTCACAAGTACGAGAGCATGCAGGAAACTGAAACAACCACTAGGACCAAGCAAGCACACTCCTTGCTTAGTCACTTGCTTACTTACACCTTTATCAAACAACGCATCCACCCAGTCGCTCATTCACACACTCATACACTCTTCATTCATTCACTCATTCACTCACTCACTCACTCACTCACTCACTTGCATGTAGCTCAGCTGCTACTGAGCACTGCGACATCTTGTAAATATACACATGTTGTTCATTGCAACCTCACTGCAATGTACCCCACCCCACCCGAATCCCTAGAGTGGCGAAGACACACAACTCTCAACAATTGGCAAGAACCCCACCTTCATGGAATATTCTCTGTACATTCTCTCGCATCAGTTTCGATTTCTGGAATTATTAAGTCATTGTCGCGTTGATCGCAGATCTATGCTCGGCGTCCCAATTTCCACCACCACATCACTAAACCTGCTGGCTGCACGCATGACCTTGGTTGATATCATAGCTACAGCAGTCATCACATCGTCGTTTGGACAGGTGTAGCAGCTGGTGAACTACTAGGCGAGCATTCTTTCAGGATCTTCTAGCGTATCCGCTTCACAACCATGTGAGAAGGTTGTCAATTTTGTTGTTATTGAGAACAGCCTCAACATCTCCTAATAGGTCAGAGTTTATGTCCTAAAATGCATAAAAAATGAGTTGTAAAAAACATGGTGTATTAGCACACAAAACACGGGGAGATATTATCAGATATTTGCTGAGGAGAGGGGAGACAAGAGGGAGAGTGGGAGAGAGAGAAGGGAGGAGGGAGGTAGGAGGAGGAGGGTAATGAGTGAGAGAGAGAGTGAGGGAGAGATAAAGAGAGAGAGGGGGTGAGAGAGAGAGAGAGAGAGAGAGAGAGAGAGAGAAAGACCTCCTCCTCATTGGATTCCTAACACTAGACTTGCTATATGATGTGAATATACATTGAAATTAATTTATTGCATAGAGCACAAGCATTAGAGCCAGTTCTTTCTCAGGCTATTGACAGGATGGGTCATTCTGGGATGGATATAATTACTAGTGACAGAAGCTTTCACCATTATAATTTGGAACTATTTCTCTCTGGAGTATGATGATTACAACCTAGTTTGGGCACCAATGGCTGTTTATTGTCCTGCATACTGTCACAATTCTCAAGTGCACGACGGTCAGCAAGCTGAACAATTACAGTAATAAGTAATAACCCCCCCCACCCCATTACATACATAATATATTCAAGTAAAAACATTCATAATGGTAAATCCATAATGTGAATCACATTTCCCCATTGACTATGCTACAATTGGAGATAAATTGGAGAACAGTCTTTCAGTTAAAAGATGTACTAAAAGAACAGTATTAGGAATGTTAAAAACATTTCAATTTTGAATGCATATATTGAATATTTTATGAATTACCTCAGTATCGTGATAATAGTGAGGGAAAGGGAATTCAAAAATAGGATCGTTGCATGGGCACAATTACAAGCTAGCTCGCATTTGTTATCACTGTCATATTCAGGTTTGAGTACTTCATGCTTGACTTTGAAGCCAAAATTTATCTAAAGTTGGTCGCTGTTTATGGTAGATCTTCTCTTTGTACAGCTCACTGTAGCAGCTGAGGGCCCTGTGAACAGTTATTGAAATCATACTGGACGGAGGGGGGGTAGTGTGTAGGAAGACAGATTTCACAAACAGTTCGTGTAAGTCAAACTATCTGATGTAGCAGCAGCAACATTAAGCTCATAAAACATGGCCCGCACAACGTGCTGGCTGCTGGCTGCATTTCTGTTACACGAGATTCATTCATTGTGACTGAACATGCCACTTTATTTTAACACAACCTTGCTCAATATTTTGGAAAATTCCATAGAGCTGAATTTACGCATCACACATGCACGCATACAAATACATATGCAGACACAGATATGGCGTATGGATACACAGACACAGGGATCGAAATTAATAATAAAACTGCTATTTTTCCTCGAGAAAAGTGGTGACCAAAATATAGATTTCCATAAAAGTTTAGGCGGTTACGGGAATTTTTTTTTTGCAAGGGTCATAAAGGCTATTCAGAGCAGGTAGTTCACATCTTTCTAATTGTATTAAGGGGGTGACTGTAGCAGAGTTTGACAGTTCAACAGTAAAATATTGAGCAAATAATGATTAAAACACATCAAAGTGGAAAAGTATAAATTTCGATCCATGCAAACATGCACGCACGCACGCACGCACGCACGCACGCACGCACGCACACACCTATATATATAACATGGTGATAAGGAGCTCCACGTTTAAAGGATATTTTGAATTTATGTATTATTCCATTTGACAATTTTGAGCATTTTTAGTAATGCTAATGAATAAAGTTTTTTACATTCTCAGAATAAAGTCTATGCTGTCTATTTTGTAAAATGATACTGTACATGAAACATACCAAACTTGGCACAAGATCATCACTCTCCATATTTGTTCCTGCCGTAGTGCTCTCCAAACCCCCCAAATCAACGTTCGTTCCTTGCATCGAGTCTAAAAAGTCTGGTGGGACACGACTGTGTTGCTGCGGATTCTGACTTTGGTCTGCAAGTGGATTAACATTATAAGAAAGAGTACATAGAGTTAGATACGTTGACATATTATACATAGTTCGAAAACTTAAGGATAGGCTCAGAGTTATGGACAGCTACCTCTGCAAAGGGCAATACAACAAACAGAACTGCTCATCAAATCTAATCCAACGCCCATCTATTTAATAAACGAGATGTCTTTCTACACTCACCGTGAAGAAAAACATCATCCCTAATTACGTAACAGCCAAAATTGTAAATTTATCTGAAAAAATGTGTGTCACATTTCTCAGTAATAGCAAAGGGTTGGTACCTAAAGGTTGACACCCTGAGTCTATCCTTAAGTCTATGGGAGTCACTACGAAGGCAATGTGACACAGAAACATCAATGGGCAAGAGAAACACTATTAGTTAGGGCATAGTAGCAGCTACTTAAAAGAAATACCATATCTGGAAAAAATACAGCAAAATATAGTTTTAACTAATACCGGATATGTTACTGATTATACCAACCTGATAAACACTAAGAATTTATGCTGTCATAGCATAGAAAATAGTAATTGAACACATCATAACACCATAGCATATTTAATTATGACGACAATTAATTTGCAAATGATGCCTTCAAAAGAAGTTCATTCATAAAGCACCCGATTCAAACAAGAGGGCATCTAATTCCGTGTAGTTAATTTGGTGCCCCGAGAATCGCAAGAAATGGCGGCGGAAATCAAAACGAGTAATCAAAATTCTAATTGTGCATGTTTTTGACAATACAGCGAGAAGACAGTACGAAAGTTTAAAGACATGTTATCATTACTACAGACAGTTGGTGTTACTTAAGCAACAATTGTAAGTATCGTGAAAGTGGGGGAAAACACGACACCGGACGAAAATTATTTTTGAAATCTTGGCTTGAAGTGATATTCTGCATTATGCTCGTGTATCTCAGAGTACTCACTACCATCACTAGTATCCATCTCATCGACGTTCCCAAGGAAGTCTTCAGGGGTTCGAGGTAGACTGTAGTTGGTCCCCAGCTCCAGGCCACTGTCTGCGCTCTCCTGCCTAGCGTGGTATTCTCCACCACTGCCGAGGAATGGATCGACAACGCCCGTCACAGTTGTGCTTACTGGTGTGCTACGCTCTTCTCCACCCAGGTGATTCCTCAACATCATTTCCTAAATTAAGGAAGATTGAAATACTGAGGTTGCAGAGATTTTTACAGCACATAGCCACAGTGCAATGTTGATTGCTCCACATTACGTTTGTATAGGCTCTCATTATTCAATCTTGTCTTGTAGCAAGTAAATAAATATTAATAAAATAACAATAAAGTAATGATCTTGGTATGACTATTCTTGATTGCTATACTGTTCACCAATTACAGACAAAAATACAGGATTCGTTACATTTTTTAAAGTTTCTAGTGGTTTTCGATTGTTATACCCCGTACAGACTGCAAAATTTGATATGGTATCAAACCGGTGCTCGCCAAATCGTAGCGTACAGACACAAAACTCTAAAGCGAGCTAAGTTGGCACGGATTGACTGTGCACGCGCAGTTTAGCCCGTTACGACTCGACAGACAGCTACTGTACTTTTATGTGACCTAAATAAGGCTATGCGCATGTGTATTGCGAAATCTGACGTGCGCCTGGCCCCACATTGCATACAGACACGTTCAATGCGGTCTAACTTGGTACGCTCCAAGTTAGCCAGCTTTGAAGCGGGCCTGGCCTCCTTCATTTGTGGGGCCAAATTGGTGCGGGCCAGCGCGTATTTGGAGCGGGATATCGTGTACACACTGCAAAAAATTTGCCACCAGTTTAATACCATATTAAATATGCAGTCTGTTGTGGTTAGTGTTAGTGGTTAGCTGCCATTGTTCACAACTGAGAGAATGTAGACGAATACAACTTTTGCAAAACAAATTCTTGCACAAAGGAAAATATTGCTCCTCTGACAAGATAGATGTTAGCTTAATTTCAACGATTTTCTAGGATTATACACAATAAACTTCATATTCTAGAAGGTTATGTTTTTTTCAGAACAGAAAAAGAAAGATTTTTCATGTTACCCGCCCACATAGTACAGCTACCCAAGCTGTTTTTCTTTTTCACCCATATCTTTATACCAAACATTTTCAGTTGAGTGTTTGTCATGTTTTACATGAGAGTCTGCAGCACCTGTGTCTTCATACTCACAAAATGAATTGTTCAAAAAAAGGGGATAATTTTTCCAAATTTATTTCTCATTTACTTATAATAGTATTGTTACATTTATGCATTTGTTCCGCATGATTATTAAAAGACAAAGCTTCAACATTTTTTATTTTATCATGTTTTATCTTGCTATCGACATATACTAAGAATATAAACACACGACACTTCGCTGGTTTTCGTGTCAGCCGACGTACAGTGGCGCCACCTTGTGTTAGTTCCATATTCCTGTTGGTACTCTAATTCTTAATAATAGAAAATGCCCTGATGTGTTTAAAACTAAAGTTTTTTAAAAAGGGAAGAACTATAGCTGGGAATTAAATTTAATTCAATAAAAAAGTGGAATGTCTGGGTTTTATTATTTTATTCATTTATATTCAATCACCAAAATTTGGACAGCGACATGCAAGATATGTATATATATATATATACACACGCACGCACGCACACGTATATATATATATTTATGTATAACACTTCATTCGTATTACTGGGGCTGTATTTGTATACTGCATGCACATGTCCAAATGTTGATGATTGAATATGAAACAATAAATCCATAAAAACTAGATTTGATCTTTTTAGTAAATTATACTTATTTCCTAGCTAAGGTTCTTTATCTTCATTGAAATTGTCTAAAAGTTATTGTCTTCAAAACATTCATAAACTAAGATAATGAGTCAGAGTGATATCGGTGGCACGTCCATTATTACAATTACAGTTACAGCAGGAGAATGCACATAATGCCAGTTGGCGGTATTGCACATCCAGTAACAGATTTCAGTACGGTTTATATCCTGCATGTCGTGTCTTAATATTCTTAGTCTATGCTATTGGTAATAAAGGCGTCTACATTTGTTAACATTGTTCAATTTAATTTTTCATTGAATGAATTAAGTTTTATTATTGAAACACATGTTATGTGTTTTGTGGTTATATAAGACTAATAAAATCATACATTTTACCTGAAACCTATCAGAGATATGGCTTTTAATGACTGCAATATTTGCAGAATTACACATAAAAAATCAAATCAAAGTTTAGACTCGTTAAGGATGAAAAGGTCATTGGACAAACACTTCTCATATGAATTCTAAACATCCGCATATCAATAGAAGTACATATGAACGGTATTATAAATCATGTTGGGAAAAATTACTATATGGTTCATGGCTAAAAACAAGTGCTTCACTGGGTCTGCTGGAATAATTATTAAAAATGGAGGCCAAGTAAATGTCAGTGGCTACCACAAGCTTATATAGGAAACCAAACAAAATGATGATATGATGATTTCAACACAGCCATAGATCTTTTATAAACGTGTATAATGGATGAAAGTGTCAATGACACTATAGCTCACCTTGGGTGTGATAGAAGAGGGAGATTAAAATTTGGTAAGTGTTTCATTTATGACCGACCAAAATGTGATCAAATGTCCTTATTCCCTGTTTTATACTAATAGAAATTTCAATGTTTTGTTTCAGGGTTAGTTCTGATGCGAAAATCTGAGTTTGAAATCTGAGCGAGAGATGGCGCTACGCCTAAATGATCGCGATGATTGCCATTTTTTTCCATTTTTCCATTTTTCCATTTTGCCATTTTTATCGCCATTTTGGTTTTTGATTATCGCGCAAATAAAAGTTATAAAATATTCCAGTCAAATTACTGTAACGAAGAATCTAAAACACAATATTACACGTAGGTAGGTAGGTAGGTAGGCAGGTAGGCAGGTAGGCAGGTAGTTAGGTAGGTAGGTAGGCAGGTAGGTAAATTTAACAAAATCGAATGAATCTAGATGGACATTTCCATTTTTGCCAAAAAGTGGGCGTGGCTCGAAAGTAGGTTGACTGGCGTGCTTCAAAATAGGACGTTCAAATCTCTCCCATAGGAGTAACAACTGTATGCAATTTGAAACGTGGGTCATACGGTTCTTGAGTTATCGTTGACCGTAGGCAGACACTGAAATGCATAGTGAAATTGCCAAAATCTATCTAATTTGCATAATTTAAAAAAAATGTCAAAACCTCTGTGATATGTTTTGGGGCCAGTCGTTATTCATTCACATACCAAAAATGAGCAAAATCCGTTGAACCTGAACTGACTTATGGCCATTTCCATTTTTGCCAAAAGGTGGGTGTGGCTCGAAAGTAGGTTAACTGGCGTGCCCCAAAACAGGACGTTCACACCTCTCCCATAGGAGTAACAACTGTATGCAATTTGAAACATGTGGGTCAAACGGTTCTCAAGTTATCGTTGACCGTAGCCAAATGTTGACGGACAGACGAACGTACTATAGACGACGGCCCATGGCAATAGCTCATCTTGACGATATCAAAGTGAGCTAAACAAAACGAATTGACATGACCCAAAATGACAGCCAACTTTATATTTCAAAATGGCACATACCCATTTGCCTGTAAAAATCTGCATTTAATCTGGTTTGAAGATGGAAACACATTATGTGTGCAAGTTTAAAAGAAAACACGAATTTCGCTTGGATTTAAACGTCCGGTGAAAAACGTTTAGGAGACAATTCCTGTGACAATGGCCCCAAATCAATGTCAACAGAATTCCTAAGGGCAGTGGCAGGACAATCATAACCATAAGGGAATGACCATTTCTTATATATTATATATGAAAAACAGTGTATCAACCTAGTGTGAGATGAACATATCACATAAATCTAGCTCATGCAATCAAATTGTGATACTGTGACAGTTGTAGACAGCAACATATGAATTAATTTGATACCATGTAGACAACACGTAACACCGTACTCGTAGGATAATGATAATTAATTAAAATAGGATAGTAATAATTATATATTGACACTGCAATATAAGAAAGCCTCTGCAAATGTTTGTGTGAGACATTCCAAATGCTTCGCTCGTGTGAGGATGAAATTTCTATCACTGGTGACAGATAATTTGGTCTCGTGACAAACAATGGATGGACCCCGTTAATATACATAATTGTATTTGTAACAGAAATGTTATCCAGTATTGAAATTCAGACCTAAAAGTGACAAACAATGGATGGACCCCGTTAATACATAATTGTATTTGTAACAAAAATGTTATCCAGTATTGAAATTCAGACCTAGAAATACTTACTCACAAATACTTGCTCTCATAACCAGTCATAATAACTAATAATAACATAATAATAACGTAAACCAGTTGCAAATCTGTCTCTCTTCCTCTTCCCTCCCCTTTCTTTCTCACACCGACCCCTGTGAACAAGTGTCCATTTAGAGCGTTTTAACAAGAATCACAGATATGAGACCAGAAGTTAAAGATAAGTTGCCCATGATTATTGAGCATGCGTACGTGTTGAAGCGTTACTAAGCAACCTGTAAAAATAGCCAAGATGCATGCTAGGAATTTAGAGGGCAGAAATGAGTTTGGTTGTTTGTTGACATGATGACCAGGCTGGCATGTGGGGCTGAGCACAGGCTACCACAGCCACAACCTCTAGTACAAAGACTGGCTTCAGCAGGGAGCAAGCGCTCTCCGGATGTGCGCAATGGCACCAGCACACCAGCTCACAATAAAACACAGCAAAAGCCTAACATGATCCACATGTGCTGTGTTATATATAACAGTCATAGTTATTTATACTGGCTTCTGCAGCCACATGTGCGCCCTATATACCTTCGGGTTATTAAATTTTCCGCAGCTGCGTGCAATGTGTTTACATCAATTGATATACAGCCGTAATTTACACCTAGTTGTACTTTTAGCTGGTCATAGGCGGGTCACTGAAGAACGGTGACAGGCTCTAGCACTCTTAGCAGCAACCCTCCACTCATAATTTAAAGATGATGCATCAGAATGACGATGACGATGGTGATCATAGAACACCACAGCTGTACAATTACAAGTCTAAGGTACAAAAACCGCTTATCGGCACCATGTTAAACAACAATCCTTTTACAAGCTGCATGACCTTAAAATTTG